GGTAGTTGACACACAGTATTACATTAGTTTCAGGTGTACAACACAGTGATTTAACATTTATATACATGATAATTCTAGGTACCAGCTATCACCATACCAAGTTGTTACAATATTTTGACTATATTCCTTACGCTATACATTACATCCCGGTTACTTATTTATTTTACAATTGGAAGTGTGTACTTTTTTTTTTTTTTGTGAGGGCATCTCTCATATTAATTGATCAAATGGTTGTTAACCACAATAAAATTCTGTATAGGGGGAGTACCCACTTTTAAAGGGCTACTGTGGGAATTAGGTGAGAACATTTTAATATGCTTGCACTTCACAGCTGATATAAAGTGGTAAATAAGTGGTAGATATGGGTATTATTTTCCTTTTGCTTTTGTTTACAAAACACAAATTATCTTATCTGAGTCTGATAACTACAAATAAGGTGCCCATTTATATAACAAATATTTATTCAGTACCTACTGTGTGCCAGGCAGACATCCTCACTTTTCAGGAAAGAAACAAACTCTGAAAGGTTACTGGATTTGCCTGAAGGGCCCAAAAAATGGCAGACCCACATTCCAAACCCAGCTCCTCTCAGTCTAAGGCCACCAACACTTTCTGGTTGTTTCTGTTTTGACATCTTAAATATTTTAACCTATCTGCAATTTTTTTTTTTGGCATTTCCTACTTTCAGAAAAATTCTCCTTGAAAGAAAAGACAGTCTAATAATTCTATTCTTCTCTTCATATATTAACAATTTATCAAGTCTCAAACAGTATCTCAGCCTTCTTCTCTTGATGAATGTTATGAAAAGGCTCTCCCAGTGGTGCTTTCTGCATTTTTGTAGGCTGCTGTCAAGAGTTGGGCTTTAACCTTCCATTTTTTAGTTTCCTGTTACTAAAAGTTCCATGACTAAATATAAACAGACTTTCTCCCAATTTTAGAACAATCAGAATTTTAGCTAATTAGAAACATCCTGTATTTTTCACTGGAATTTATCTCTTTAACAGTCAGATTTTCAATCTGACTCCCAGATCAAGTGATACAAATGCTGTCAAGGGCTCAACCTATCTTTCATGTCAATAAAGTTTCTGAAGTCTGTTCATCCTTAAGTTACCACAAACTCCTTGATGACAAGGTTATTTTATTTAAATGTTCTTTTCATATATACATTATTAACCTCTTTTCTCTTGTTGGTAATTAGATTCAAGAAGCAATTTATCTTACTGTTTTTTTCAGATCTTTTTAAACACAAAACTGTCAACACATACATCCACCTATTCATTCATTCAGTGAACATATAGTTGGTGCCTACTACAAGTTGGGCATTATTTCAGGGATCTAACAGTGAAAAAACAGAGCTCCTGCTTTTGTGGAACTCACACACACCAGCAGGGGAGATAATTAACACCTGAATACAGAATATAATGTGAGATGGTGTTGCTATAAAGACAACAGCAATGCAGAAAATAACAGGGAAATGACAGAAAACTGAATCTTATTTTATATAAGATGCCAGGAAAGATTTCTCTGAGGAGGCATTTGAGGCAAGAACTGAATGACAAGAGAGAATAAGCCAAGAGAGGATCCTGAAAGTGGGGAATGGTGGAGAATGGTACAGGCATGGGAAAGAGCAAACAAAAGCCTAGGACAGAAATATGTTTGGCATGGTTGAGGACAGTTAGGATAAACAGGGCTAAAGTGGAATGTATGAAGAACAAAAAGGAATATAAAAGGAGTTGTGTGGCAGACTCTTAAAATTTTTCTTTATCATGTTTAAATTTTGTTATAATCTTTGATGGTTATTAAATATTAATCAGATTTGAAAATATACTTTCAGCAGAAAACCAGATACAATCACTATCGTATTTTGCCTTGTGACTACTTTCTTACTAGTTCCATGAAAACAATCACCCATTCCTTCTTTCAGGCTAAATGATCAATGGCAATCACTCCTCCCTCTTTCAGATCTCACTTAAATTTATCCCCTATGCTTCATGGACTTTCTGAGTGTTTAACTGTTACACTTGATACAAGTCACCACACATCTCTGAGATTTCTGGTAAATCTGATTCTGACTGGTTTTTCTGTTTTCCCTTAGTTTCTTTTGGGTGTGAAAGACTGAGAAGCTCTCAATACCTGAGGTCATGCACTTGATATTATACCTCTGCCTACCTGAGATACCCAGGAACTGTTAACTTCCTGCTAAATAAAACAGTGTCCTCTTCCCTTTGGTTGAAGGCCTTTAAGGAGGGTATAGCTTTCAATAATCAGCCTTCAATCTCAGTAGACCCTCCAAGTTTTCTAGCACAACAGACAAAGCTGCTTGAATTGTTCTTCCAGTACTCTGGGGTGTTTCTGTCCCCTACCCTCACTTAACCACTGATTTGTCTGGGTACTTTCAAGGTAACTAAAGGCCTAGAAATTTTACCTCATTAATTCAGTCCTTTCCAATCAATACCTGGTTCTTTACTCCAGCCTATTAAATTCTCACAGTTACCTTTATTTTACTAGGAAGTACCTTACAATTTATTTAAGGAGTTTAACAGTAATCCAGTTAAACAGGAGACTGGGCCAATATGAGGATTTTTGGAAGGATTTTTTTCCCCTTACTATATTTTTAAAAATACTTTTTACTACAGAAATCTTCAAACATACAAAAAGCAGAGAGTAGTAGGATATACTTCCAATTCCCAGTACCTACAATTATTATATGGCCAATCTAGTTTCATCTAAAACTGCCACTTTTCACCCCTTACAGTAGACTCTTTCATGTTTAAAACAAATCCCAAATAATATATTTTATTTCAGAAGCATTCCAATCAACAAAACATGTGATCCTAGACCTGGCAACCCAGTGTCTTTCAAATCCTTCAGGACAGCCAGGCTCCAAGTATTCATGTCTATTATACCCAAATTAGATGGCTAAATACAATGATCACTCCTTGATTTCTAGTTCCTTTTGTCATGACAGACCATTACCCAAAATAAGTTTATTTAGTACAATTTTAGAGCACAGATACAGGATGGCTAACGCATATAAACTATTTCACAGACTTTAAGAAAAAAACTTGAACAAATAAGGGTATTATTATATGTAGATCTAAAATCCCACACTTATTTTATAGTCCAACACTGAAATGGTAGACAAGATGTCAAAACAACCATATACAAACCAGAGAAAACAAGCTAAAATTCTTCAAGTTGTGTATGCCACAAAATACTTCCTATTTTTAAAAAATGCGGTTTGGATAACAACATACCCAATTTGAATGTAAAAGTCACCTATTTATAATAAATACCATATATTACTTAAAAAGATAATGATTAAATGACAAAGTACTTCCTTATAAATGTATGGCAAAAAGCTCCTGGGGACCACTTACAGCTCTGACTCGAAGAAGATGTGAGATGACAGACTGTAGTTCATCACTGTAGTGTTTTAGCTCAGTAAATCTCCTAAACAGGAAACAAAAAATCATTTTTCTCATAAAACAAGTCAAAACTGAAAGGCAAAATAGTTCCTGAGAAAGTGATTCTATTTAATTTTATTTTTAAAATTCTAAAATAAAATAGCCATTCCTTTCTTTCAATATTTTTAAAGCCAAGAAAAGATGTCATGATTCGTAATTTAAACTGTGAGACTGAGATAGAGATAAAATTTATTGGCATGAAAAGTTACTTAAAAACAAAAACCAGTAAAAAATTTATGGTGCTAAAAAGTCATGGTATAACCATAAACTCATGGTCTCTAACCTCAATCTTAATGCTACTCAGTAATCTTTGCTTTCCAATCCAGTAACTGTCATTCTCCATAAGACCTGAAACTTCTGACACCACCACCTGTCTCTCTCCAAGCAAAATCTGCAGATTAAATGCAAATGTCGGATAGGAATTACCTCCACCTCCACTTCCTGCCAGGAAACTTAGCAGCTTTACCATATCTACTTCTACTATTTTTTCCTTCCCTCTAGTAAACTATTCCCCTTCAATTACTCTAGATTCTATTCTACCTACATCCCATATTCCTATTCTCTTAACTTCCTCTCTCATAGCAGCATATCAGGTGTCTCCTAGAGTAAAATTAACTCAGGTGTCTCCTAGAGTAAAATACACACACATTCATACCCAACAAGATACCCAACAGTCAACACACTCAATATCCACCCCTTTCATGGCCTTACTTCACAAAGCATTATCTCTCTAGCAACAACCACTTCTTCCCATTCACCGCGCAGCCCACTACAACCTAGTTTTGCCTCCAACACCATAGTGGAGAAACGTTCCTGACAAAGTCATCAACTGTTTTCATGTTGCTCAAATTCAATGATATAATTTAGTCCTCATCTTACTTGATCCTTCCAGCAATGCTGCTGACCTCACACCCTCCTCTAAACTTTGTTCCCTTGAAATCAGTATTATTTTCTCATGATTTTCCTTTTACTCTGGATATTCCTAAAGTCTCTTTTGCAGTATTCACTTCCTTCAACCATCTCTTATACCTCTAACTTTAATGTACAAAGAACCCCTAAAGTGTTTGTTAAAAATACTACTGAGAGACTCTCATTAAGAGAAGGTGTGAATGATCACCACACATGTATACACAGGTCCTAAGTGGGACTCAGGAATCTGAATGTGTAACAAGCTCAACCCGTAAGATTCAGATGCTGGTAATTCTTGGATTACACTTTGGAAAACACCCTTATAGTATTGGCATTCTTCACAGTTAAGTCCTAGGTCCTCAGCCATCTTATAATCAGTACACTCTATGTAATTTGTCATTACAAAGCTTCGCAATTATGATCTACATTCTGCTGAATTCCAAATTTCCACCTCTAGCCCAATCTCTTTTCTTAAAATTTGTACTTGCTTACATATCCAAAGTTCAACTTATCTTTCCCTGTCCCCCCAAAATCTGTCTACCCAGTATTCCCTAGCACTCTACAGAATGAAACCTGGGTGCCATCTACATTTCCTTCCCCTCTTTTCAACCCCATTCATTTACTAGTCACTCTGTCTACCACTTAAATATTGTCCAAGTACTATCTAAATATTGCCACATAAAAGTAGAAGATTCAACCCTCACTGCTCTTAACACTCTAGACTGAAGAAATAAATATAAATATGAATGAAGCAAGTATCATTTTGGTAATCCCTCTGTAAGTCTATTTTCTAGATTTTAAAAAAGGATAGAATAAAAGTATTTTTGTGATGTAAACTATTTTAGAAATGGTATGAATAATAATTATTGGGCCAGCTAGACCTAGAACACAGATTCTGTACATGAAGAATCTGTTACAAAAATGAAAGATGTAGACAATTCTCTTATCTAGAACTTAAGGCAAACACATTCTATTACTAATCATAGGTTAACTATATACTTTAACAAGAACAGGAGCACAACATTGCCTTAGTTATGTCACTGGTCACCTCGCATCAAAAAGTATCTATGTAAAATAGATATTAAATAAATTTAGCAAGAAAACCCAGTTAGGTCATAGAAGGGAAAACAAAATCTAACAAATATTTTTCATTAAACTGAAAACATTCATTTGACAAAATATTAATAAAAAATAATCTCATCTACATGCTCCTCTAATGAATGTACATTCACTATCATAACCTTAGCTTATTAGGTTTTCCAAAGTTTTTTTGGGAGGGCGACTTAAAATTTTAGTTCTTAATCTAGAGGACATCTCCTATATACCATGTATGTCATTATAAACCTTATAAAAACCTCTGTGAAATATGAAATGCATATTACTCAGTGAAAGCAGCCAACCTGAAATGGCTGCCTACTGTATGAAATGACCCTCTCTGGAAAAGGCAAAACTATGGAGACAGTAAAAAAGTTAGTGGTTGCCAGGGGCTGGGAGGGAGGGATAAACGGGCAGAGCACAGAGAATTTTTAGGACATTGAAAATACTTTGTGTGATACTATAATCATAGACACATATCACCCTACATTTGTCAAAATCCATATAATATACAACACCAAGAGTGAATCTTAATGTAAAGTATGGACTGGGTGATAATGATGTATCAATGTAGGATTATCAATTCTAGCAAACGTACCACTCTGGTGGGGAATGTTGACAGTGACAGGAGGTGTAGAGGTGTGAATGTTGGTTAGAGGACATATGGGAACTCTGAACTTTCCATCAATTTTGCTGTGAACTTAAAACTGCTCTGAAGAATTAAGTCTATTTAAAAAAAAAGCCTCAATGGTTGCCATCAAAATTTTCTAATCACCAAAACTTTAAAATACTTATTTATATTTTATAGTCAAAATGTATATGAAAAACCAGAGGCATTATGTTAATGTGTTATGGTTTATAAAGTCAAGCATAACAGGTTATCAGACTATACAGACTTGGCCTTTAGCAGGCATTTACACCATGTAGAAATTAACGCTGAATGCCTAACTAGAGAAATTCTAAAAGAACTCATAAACTTGGTAGCCAAAAATGGAAAAGCCTCATCTGCCTGGGCTCATTTTTCTAATTGAAAAAATTAGCTGAACCAAAGTCCAAGTAAAGGTCCATATAACAAAGAGCCTGAGTTATCTAACCAAATTCAGAGAACGACAAAACCAAAATCTTAAGAAATGCCTAGGTCCTACCTAAGGAAACTTACTTCGGAATACACTGGCTTCCTCTGAAATAGAAAAGCTCTCTCAAACACCAAACTGACATTAATGAAGTCAAGTAACTATCACAGAAATATATCTCCTTGAAATTATTATACTACAATGCATTTATCAAGTTTTCTGCCTATACAAATAGTTTATTACTAAAAATGTATAGTATATAATCGTATCTTGAGCTTTATACATGCTTGGCAAGCAAAGTCATGTAAGAAAAACTAATATGAAATTAAAATAACTTTTTCTCATTTTTCTGATAACTTCACCATTTAATAAATCTGTCAAGAAAAAAGCAGTGGTTTAATTTTCTAAAACTTCAGTTACTTGCAACCTTAAACCCAACTGTTACTAAATTACAAAATTATTTTAGATTACAAAAGGACTTCACCAAAGGTGAATTACTATTTAAAGTATTTACCAGATAAAGTGCATACATTCAGAAATGAAAAATTAAATAGACTGATAGGCATCATTCAAAACAACACTGTAACTGTTATTAAAACAAAACCTTACTTGTCTGGGTTTTTCACTCTGAATGTTGCATTAAGCGCTTTTAACCTGGAGTCTGCCTGGAAAAAATAATTTGTTCACTTAATACAATTACATTTCAGGGCATAAATCCAAACAGTTTTACTTCCCCCTTAGAATTAAGATGCTAATTTTATAGTTTCTTTATATCATTAATGTCAAACAGATTAAACATACCTAAAAAAACAGCTTAGCAGTTATTTTTTAAAACATCACAAAAGTAATCTTATAAATTAAACTGAATCCATGGCATTCAATGATACTCAAGTAAAACAACTATAAACACCAACACACTAACAGGTATACAGCTCTACATTATCACAACTCAGAATAGGTCATGTGAACAAGTAGTTTATCTTTTCTCTAAATCAAGAAAAGCAATGATACACTAAAAAAAACTATTGCTTTGAAGCCTCTGTGTTACTGAGAGCAGTTCTCAGATGGAAACCATGCCAAACACACGTTGGTTTTTCTCACTTTGATATGACTATTTTAGAAAAGAAAGACGGAGATGCCTTAGTACCGTAATACTGTACTGAAGTAAAACAAGCAAAATGACATCAAATTACTCTCTAGCTGGCAGAAAATGCTAAAGACAACACAATTTTTTAACTATCTTCACTTCTAGGTAATTGCTCTCCAAAGGAGGGATGGAGGGATAGAGGGATCAGCACTAAAAACAATTTCTTTGTATTGAATTTATATGTAATATATCCAAATCCCACCCTAAATTCCCATTTAAAACAAAAAATAAAATAAATACACCTAATTACTTTTAACCAAGCACAGAAACTGTAGGATCCATAAAAGGTAGCTCAGTCAGTGATCAATTTTTTAATGTGCTTTGAAATTCCCAATCAGCTTGAAAATGTTACTTATTCCAACTTCCAACCCGTAATTACAAATACTCTCAAATTAATAAAAAACAAACAAAACAAAAATACTATGGCTCCCTAGATTACTTGGCTAAGGAAAATTTTAAAAACGTAACCAACACCCTACTCCACAAAATGAGCTCCTAGAACTTGAGATCAAAAGAAATCAAAGAGCTATCAAGAATATCTTAAGGAAGCTTAATTTATCACTGCTGTTCAGACTTTCTTATTCCTAAAATCAGTATTTCACCAATTCTTGACCATTCTTATATTTCAGGGGCAACTCAGCTAATGCATGTGGAAGTCCTTACAAAATAAAAGATCCTATGAATTTAAGGTACATATTTACTCCCTTATGTTTTTTAAGTTAATTAAGATCACTAAACACCAAAGTGTTAATGACTTTATACTCACATGCAAATGTGATTCTTTAGGATGAGATTACATAAAAACCGTAAGTAAAGAAATTTTCCCTTGTACCTTCTCTTCAATCTTACACTTCTTCATGGCATCAATTTATTTTTTACTTTTAGTATCAACAATTTATCAATTCAGAAGTCATATAAAATATAAACTGTCACCTTCCTAACCTTTGCTTACCAGGTAACTCTGTCAGGTTAGGTCCACCACATCAGCCAACTCAGTATGTTCATCATTTCACAGGATTCCATAGAGAGAAGTTGCTGAAAATGTCACCAAACCAGAAACCAAAGCTAGATCTCAAAGAACCTACCTGGACTGTTCCAAATCTGACAGGTTACCATCTACCTTATCAGATTCCCCATTTAATAACCTAAAGAAGCCCCCTAGTCCATCACTGTTTCATACATCCTATTTTATCTCCTTTAAAACAGCGCTATCTGAAATCATCTCAGTTGTTTATGAGTTTCTTCACTGTCCACTAGAATGTAAGAGCCATAAAAAAGCATGAATGGTGCCCCCTGGAGTTTCTCAACGGCTGCCACAAAAGACTGTAATCTGCTCTGTTCATTGCCACAGCCCCAGTGTTTCACAAAGCCTGGTATAAGATAAACACGCAGTAAGGAATGGTTGAATGAAAAATAGCCCTGACCACTCTCTATACCTCGACTCACTGCCCTTCTGTTCTCCCTAAATCCCCACCTCCTTCCTCTCTTTCCAATTCATATTACATTTTTTACTTTCCTTGTCCTGAACCTTCTCTCTCCTCTATTCTTTCATTTTGGATACTTATCTTCCCCCAACTCTTGCCTAGTAAACTACTACCCAGCTTGGGCCTCTCTAGCATTCCTCTTCCTTGGCCCCTAAATTGACTCCAGTGCAGGTTTCTTATTACTTAGATCTCAGCATAAATGCTCTCTTTAGCCATGTGACCCAGTTTGCCCAGGACACTCTTGTTTTGTGCCTGCTGTTCTAGTCTAAACGTTAATAGAGCTCCTTTTTACTTTCAAAAGTGTCCCCATGGACAATACGTTTTATGGTCACCTAGATCAAAATAATCCCTGGTGGAAAAAATCCCTGTTGTTATACCTTTTAACAATGACGATTTAAAACTATTTTAAATTATCTTATTTATTTAATAAGTCTCTAACTACTAACCTACAAGCTACATAAGAACATGGAGTTTAGAATGTTTCCAGCTCCTGGAAGAGCATCTGACATACTCTGTAGGCAGCCAACATTTGGAATCTCCACATTGGCTCTGAGATTCTGTGCAATACACAGATTGGCAGGGATCCTAAGGGGCCAGACCATGACTCTGGCATCCCTACTCTATGCCACAGACAGGGTGCTGGACTCTTCTGAATGAACCTACACTCATTTAGGGTTTTGATATATAGATAGCATTTACTTCCATGTAAGTAACTTTCTCAGTTAACTGAGTTAAAACAATACTACTTTATATTAAATAACTAGTTTATATGTTCATTACTCTAGATAAACTCTTTGCTGTCTTTTCAGTGAACTGATTATGAGTTTTATATAAATATTTAAGAAAAAAGTAGGAATTCCAAAGGACAGCAGTGATGAAAAGAGCTGTTGCCCATGTTTGTGTTAAATAGAGCACTGATAAAGAGAAATTAAATTTTACAATTACTTGCTAGGCATAATTAGTACCCTAAAAATTTAAGAAAATATTAATCTAATAGGCAAAAACTACAGATTAAATATGTCTGAAAAATAGGAAATTAAAGTAAGCTGATTTTCCAATTTCAGAATGACAATCTGAAAGCCAAGTTCACACACTCTTAAAAAATACAAATATTTGGTATGATTCAAAACAACCTCATTTTCACAGAAGTACAGTTTCTAACACTTTCTTTACCAAACATTTTTACATACATTAATTACATAATAACCAAAAGGGAAGAGGGGATGGTAACACATATACATGTAGACAATCTCACATACATGTTTTTATGTATGCATGCACATACATGTGTACATGAGGTGGCCCAAAAAGATCTTTTACTCTTGATGAAAGAAAGGACTTAAAACAAGAGACAGTCACAACAGAGTAAGGAATACAGCAATAGACACGGGTTTCCAAATTCTCTCCATACTTTATTTGTGGTACACTTCATCGGAAGTCTGACTTTTCAAATTATTAGTATTGTATGCTAAGTACTAACTTTCAAAGACTCTAAGAAAGTGGAACACATTTTACCACAAGGCTACCCAAGCATGCCACACTCCCCCTAAATACAGAAATAGTACCTACACACAAAATTTGAAGCACTGCAAATAGCAGAATGTACATGCATGGAGAAACTCAGGAGTTTTCTCAAGGTCATCAAAGTTAAGGCCAAAAATGGGGTTCAAGGACAAACAACTAATAATTAGCTAGTAAACTAATGACTAAATCAATGACTAAAAATTAAAAATTTTTCTATTATATAAAGAGATATCAAAACAATTATATTTTCATTTTCTCTTTTCCTTAAAATTAGCTATCTTAAGCTAGTTCTCAGAAAACCCCACCAAAGTTTGAATCATTTTCTAAAGCTCTGAGCTACTCCAAATCCATCTCTAAATTAAAATTCTAGTACACTTGAGTGCCATAAAGAATGAATTATAGCCATGAAAATTCTAATTTTTTTCATGCAATCTCCAACAAAGTATTTATGAATTAGAATCAGTTTATGACAGAATTAGATACTTATATTTTCTATGCAGGAGCAAATTTTTCTCTTCCTAGTTTTCTTGTGCTAAATTTCAAATATCAATATACGGATGCATAAATCTCTAGGGAGTATTTTCAAAATTACTGTAAAGACATTTTGCTCATTTTCTGTACCTACTAAACTTGTTACTGTATGTGAACCATTTATCAATTTACATGTTATGTATCAATTTATGTTATATTTTTCTACTTACCTATTCAGTTTACCTATTCAGTTTACGGAGATGAAAACTTTAAGTATTTCAACAACCTGTGTCTTATTACTTTTGGGGACTATAGGAAGAGCAGAGTGGAATCAGTGTGGCCATCTCACCACTACTAACTATACTCTTCAATTGTTAGATAACAATTTCATTCCCAAACCTAAATATGACTCTACCTGAAAAGGTGTACAAAACCCAAATAAGTCTATTATCACTTAGAGATGCTAATTCAAAACTGGCCAGCACACCCCAGTACACAGAAACAGCATGACCAATGGCACATCTTTTAGTCTGCTAAGATTGAAAACCCAAGCTCAGTTCTTCAGAAGTGTTTTCATATCTGATAAAGAATGAGGGGATAGAGGGGCACTGTTGCAAGTGGCAGTGGTAAGGACAGAGAGAAGGGAAAAAAAGGTGCCAAGTATGAGTACACTGCAGGAAAAATCTACAGCTTTTATCTAAATCCTTCAAAATGTTCCCTCCCACAGAATTAAATTCATAAATATGCCCATTACAGTCTTATTAGCATCTAAAATTACACAAATCAAAAGTAAATTTGCAATTTTTCTTTGAAAACCTTACCAATGGTATTAGCAGAGCCTACTCCCAAAATTCAGTCATTCAATAAATACCAAGTACCCACTAAGTGCATGGCATTGTGCTAGGAATTATAAAGGCAGCTGACAATTTATTTCACATAAATATCCTTACCTTCAGCTGAAACCCAGTTTCATTCACAGTCTCCTTCCAGTTACCCTCCTAAAAATTAATTTTAGAAATCATTACAAAATAAAATAACCCGTAAGGAATATTCCAAATTAAATAAACTTAATACTTATCATTCTGTTGTTTTTCAGAGATGGGAGGAAAAAATTTAAAAAGAAATCTTTTCACCTCAAAATTAAACACACAATCCACATTCCAAAAGATTACCAAAAGATGGTCCTAAGATTTTACAGATCTGTATTTCAAAAACCAAAGACTAACTTTGATACCACTTGACAAGTGATAGCAAAAACAATCTTTAGTATCTTTAAGTATAAAAATGTTAGCTGAAATAATAATACAATCCAATAGTTTTGAAATTTACTTTTTTAAAAATGAAATGTATATACAAAATTACCAAAGCTGCTCCAAAAAGAACCTTAAGGATAAGCATTCTGTAGTTTAAAAGAAAAAAAATCCGAGGTCAAATGAATTTTTTAAGGTGACCAAATAAAAGAAAAATACCTGTGTTAAAAACAAACAGAAGATTTTGTCTCTACAAAGAATGGGATGTGAAGCAACTCTCAAGAGAAAGTTTTCTAAACCAATCCTTCGTCTTTCCACAAAATCCGGGTCCATGTTGTCAGCAGAGAGTTTATGCCAAACAAATTCTGCCTAGGTAAACAAAACCACCATGAAGAATAGTCTCAATGCAGAATACTTCTGAACTATACTGCTATTTCATTTCTTACCCTTTTTTCTGGGAGGGGTGGCACAACAATATGTGGATAGTAAACTAAAAGGTAGTTTCTCAACAACTCAAATTCACTATACCGCCTCCACAGTGAGTCTGTTAGGAGACTCTGACCATCAATGTGTTCAACTGATCTGAAAAGGAACAGAGTAAGATTTCTATTATTTTGTTTAAATATAAATACATACATACAAGCTCCATTAAAATTTACAATCCCATTTACTGAGTGCTTATGCACTAGGCACTTCTCATTTATTATCTTTCATGTATTACCTTACTTAATCCTTATAATCACCATGTGAGGCATGGATTACTGTCCCCATTTTATAGATGAGGAAGCAGCTACACAGTATATGCTTTGACAGTCAGAAGATCTGGGAACAGAGCATTCAAATCCATCTATTCCTAAGCCCTCACTCCTAATCCCTTTCCTTCTGTTAAAGGAAACTTATTTGATCTCGAGAAAAATAGTAATTTTAGGAATATTCTAAAAACTTCAACGTATAATAATTCTGTTAATGTATAATAGATTTTACAATACAGTAAAATCTGGCTTAGCTAGTGTTCATTAAATAAGTTGTATTTCTAATTGTACTTCTGCCACAGTGAGAGAACAGCATTCATGCTAAAGACCAAGACACTGAAATAATCTCAATTAGTTTAAAAAGGAAGCCAATGCATCAAAGAACTAGGAAATATCACAAAAGCAAAATGTTAATTAACGCTAAAAGGGTGGGGGAGAAGGGATGTAAAAATTCATTTCCAATCTAACTTTTAATATAAAGAGTTGCAGGCAAGCCATGTCTCATCCATATAAAAGTTCAACTTACAGCTGGGGGGAAGGAAGTTAGGGTAAAATCATATAAAGGGCATTTGAAATTATTTTGGCTACTTGAGAATTCTGCTAGCAATTAAGAAAGCAGCAGTCTTCTAAACATTACCAGGACCTTCCTATTTTCTAATTGTTAGCTTGACAATAACTAACAGGGTCTCCAAGAAATGCACATATCACCACAATGTAAAATGGTATGTTAAAATAAAAAATAGAAGCTAAATGAGTCTTGGAATATAGTACTCTTGAGAAAGAATATACATTATGCCAAGCTACCATAACAGACGTCCAGTGTTTTTATTATTTATATATTTAAGAAAAGTCTGCCACTAAATTTATTCATTGCCTATCAATTAAAAGGAAATAAAACATGAATTCAAATGGCACAAATGGCTCCCATGACAAAAATAGAGGTTTACTAAATCATATCATAATTCATTTTAAAGAGTTGTCCTAAACATTAGCTATGACTTAATGTTACTTCAATTCAGATTCTCAAACTTCAGCTTAAAAACTATCTGAGTTATTATCAAGTTCCAAATTATCAAAATCATTAACAAAAGTACTCACATCTTGCTAATATTAAGTAGGAAAATACAGCCTATGAGCAGTACTGTTAGAAGACCTGCTTAAGTGTTTTAAGATCATTCACAGCAGAGTCTAGTTATTGCAAATGAACTAAAAGCACAGAGAAGACATGCGCTGGACCCCAAAACTACCCCATTTGCCAATCATTCAACAAGTATTTAATAACTGGTTTTACATGCAAGATTTAATTTAACCCTCACATAAAGTAGATAGTATCATTAGCCCTGTTTCACAGATCAGGAAAATCAAGTAATGACATTGTACTGCCTCCCAAGCTATCAAGACATTCTTATCTATTCTGAGAGGCATATTTTTATCTCTTTTTAAAGGGTTCAAATTCTATGAATAGGAAAACAACATCTCTGGAGAAATTAAAAACCAGTGACTTTAGTCTTACTCAATCTTAGCTTACTAAATTATAACCCTATAAGCAATTGCTAAAGAGGCTTTTTACTGGTATCCAAGGAGTAGGTAGTAAGCAAGATGATTAAAGTTCAACTTCTGGTTACAGTTAAGGGATAATAACATTTGTATTGTCCAAGATTATCTGCATAAAACTGCCTTGTGGAAAGAATTCCACATGATTTAATTAAGAAATCCAGGCAGTTCTGTGAAGCCCATGAAGCCCTGAAAATTCACACACTCACCTTAAGCCAAGCTTGGTAACTTTTGGTAAAGCCTATGAGAATGCAGCATTTAAAATTTTTTTCTTAAAAATGTATTCACATTAAAATATGGTTATAACAATTTATCAGCTGGATCTGGTAGTTCTATTATTTTATTATTATTAAATCCTTACTCCCACTACTGCAGTTACTATCTGTTAACATAGGAAGATGTTACAGAATTATTGGCTATATTCCCCATGCTATACTACCACCATGACCAACTTACATTATGATTGATAATTTATGTGCCTCTTTATTAATTTAACCCTCAGTGTCTGTAAGTCTACTGCTATTTTGTTCATATTGTTTTGTTTTTGTATTCTACATAGTAAGCAAAATCATACAGTATTTGTCTTTCTCCACATAAATATCCTCTAGCTCCATCCATGTTACTGCAAATGGCAGGGTTTTTTCTTTTAGTGGCTGAATAATATATTCCATTGTGTATATGTATTACATCTTCTTTATCCACTCATCTATTGATGGACACTTTGGTTGCTTCCACAACTTGGCTACTGTAAATAATGCTGTGATAAACATAGGATAGTGGTGCATGTATCTTTTCAAATCAGGGATTCCGTTACCTTTGGGTAAATTCCTACAAGTAGAATTACTGGGTCATATGGTATTTCCATTTTTAGTTTTTTGAGGAACCTCCATACTGCTTTCCACAATGGCTGCACCAACTGGCATGCCCACCAACAGTGTAGGAGGGTTCCCCTTTCTCCACATCCTTATCAACACTTGTTATTTCTTGTCTTTTAGACAGTGGCCATTCTAACTGGGTTTGTATGAGGTGATAGCTCACTGTGGTTTTAATTTGCATTTCCCTGATGATTAGCAATGTGGAGCATCTTTTCATGTGCCTGTTGGCCATCTGTATTTCTTCTTTGAAGAAGTGTCTGTTCAGGTCCTCTGCCCATTTTTTAATTGGTTTATTTGTTTTTTGGGTGTTGAGGTATATGAGTTCTTTATGTATTTTGGATGTTAACCCCTTAGATGGTTATGTGGCTTTTATCCTTCTTTTTGTTAATGTGGTGTTGAACATTGATATACAAATAGTGTCATCCTTGCATCCCTGTAATAAATCCCACTTGGTCGTGATGGATGATCCTTTTGATGTATTTTTTATTCCAGTTTGCTAATATTTTGTTGCGGATTTTTGCATCAGGGATATTGGTCTAAAATTTTCTTTTTTGTAGTGTCTTGTCTGGTTTTGGTATTAAGAGCAACACTGGCCTCACAGAATGAGTTTGGAAGTACTCCTTCCTCTTCTACTTTGGTAATACTTTAAGAATGGGTATTAGCTCTTCTTTAAAATAAACATAGAACTCAGTTTTGTAGAATTTACATAATAAACATAGAAATAAACAGAATTTGTTTTGTAGAATTCAGCTGTGAAGCCAGCTGGTCCTTGACTTATGTTGTTCGGGAGTTTTTTGATTACCAATTCAATTTAATTGCTGGTAACTGGTCTGTTCAGATTTTGTTTCTTCCTGGGTCGACCTTGGAAGGTTTTTTGTTTTTCTAGGCATTTTCCATTCTTCTAGACAGACCAATTTGTTGGAATTTAAGTTTTCATAGAATTCTCTAATAATTCTTTGTATTTCTGTGGTATCCCTTGACTATTCCTTTTTCATTTCTGATTTTGTTTATGTGTGTACTCTGTCCTTTTTTCTGGATAAGTCTGGCTATGAGTTTGTCTATTATGTTTATTTTCTCAAAGAACCAGCTATTGGTTTTGTTAATTTTTTTCTACTGTTTTATTCTTCTCTACTTTATTTATTTCTGCTATGATCTTTACTAACTAACTTTGGCCTTTATTTGTCCTTTATTTTCTAGTTTAATTGTGAGTTTGGACTGTTTATTTGGGATAGTTCTTGTTTCTTGAGGTAGCCCTGTATTGCTATATATCTCCCTCTGAGAACTGCTTTTGCAGTGTCCCACAAGTTTTGGATTGTTGTATTTTTATTTTCATCCCTCATTTCTACATATTTTAAATGAGAGAATTTCTGCCCAGTCTCTGCAGAAAGAAAAACACGAGTTGCTATAGTCTTTATATTATATATATATTTGTTATATACACTTATAACCAGCAAAATAAGTTAAATCTTTCCTACTCGTTTTCTAGGCATAATCATCTAATTCTTTATGAGGGAAAAGACAATTTTTTTGGTGAGTCTGATTTCTTACTCCATGATTTACTTTGCCTTTTCAATTTTACTCCAGATTATAAAGCTCCAGTCTCAGACAACTTTTTTTCCTGTTAATTTCTCCATAACTCCTAACTCTTCTAAAAAAATTTAGATTTTATTCTCTCCTAGATTTCTCTGTTAACCATCTCCAGTTACCCAAGTCCACTTTCCATGCCCCTGAGTACCTGATATCCCTTCCAAAAATTGTACAGGGATTGTATCCAACACCAAGAACTCTACCAAAGTGTGTGTCAAGTAACATTCCAGATCCCCCAAATATTCCGCTAACCTCTCCTCTCCCTCCAAAACAAGTACTACATTAGAATATAGCTACCAAGAGTACCATAATTAAAGACACACTTTTTTACCTGTTAAAAAGAAGAGAAACAAAAAAAACAATCCCTAAGACCTACAAACAATTCTGTTAACAGAATTTGCATCAGCAGCTACCAAATAAAACTTTTTCTAATTCTCATCACTCACCTTGTTTCAATGAGGTAAGCAGTATATGTTTCTTGCATGTTCATGGCATTTCTTCCAGTACGTTTTTCTGCTTCTGAAACACTAATTTCTATCTTCTTCAATGAAAAATTATTTTCTGTCATCTGGGCAGAACAAGTGGAAGAACACAGAAAAAGAAACCTTTAAGACAGTATTGAAAAAAAAACCGCACTTATTATAATAGAATCCATTATTGGTATATATTTCAAGAAAATTTATGTTTTTTGAGTTGTCAGAAGTTGCAAAGTGACAGAAGCAAAGGACACGTCTTTTATCAGCATACTGTTACACATTAAACTTTTCCAAAAGCTATTTTAAGAGGTATCATATATTTAATTATTAAAACATATACATTTCATGTACGTGACCAAGAATAAATCTATATAGAAATGCCTAAGAAAAAAATCTAAAAACCCTTTACAAAGATGAATGATCCTCAATATTGGTATCTAATTTTTAGTTTTAGCAAAGTCAAATCTTTCCCTCTCAAAAATAAAATACCATATATATGCCAAAAGGCAAGATTTTCAACAAGCAGGTTAATTAAAAAGTATGAAAAAAACAAACAAAAACAGAAGTCATCTTATATTATATTCAACTTTAAATTTTCCTAATCTTTCTGGCAGTGATTAATAGGTTCCATCTGTGAGACAGCAGCAGAATTTAAGAAGAGCAGACACCTTTCTTTCTCCCACTAGAATATCCCCAAGTCTGTATCAGAGGACCAAGAACAACAACAAATACACCACTGGTGGGTTACAGGCTGTGGGAAGTGTGCCTTTGAGCAAGGGTCCTGAATAACCAAGGTAACTCCAAGTCTAAACAAGGGAGACAAAGTGAGACCATGTAACAACTGCTATGTTTTGGGGTTTTTTTTCTTTGCTCATTCTCAAAGTCCAGAGGTGGGTTTTAATGAAAAACACCTTACTATATTATAACTGGGGGGCAGTTTGTGCAGAAGAGATATAAGCAGAAATATGGTGCACCAAAATGTAAAAGACAAAGCTACAGTAAAACCCATGGTGATAATCTACACAGAAAAACTATGTGCTAAGAGGACAGAAAAAGCTGTGTGATGATGCAAAAAATTAAATCAGTGAATAAAGAAAACACACTTAAGACACAATAAAGAGAAGGTAAAAATGCTAAAGGAAGGAAATGAAAAAGGGCAGAGAACTAAAAGCCAACCCAATAGAACGGAACTGTTATTACCAACAAAAACAGAAATTACTCAGTCATCAAACAAGACATTTTTATAAAGGGTAAGTTCTATGTTATGTATTGAGAGAAGGTAAGAGAGAGAGGAAGAAATTAGTCAACCGAAAGAAAGCTCAAGAAATTACATAAGAACAAACCACTCAACATCAGGATTCTAAAGCCCTCACTGGTTGAGATACACATATAAAAACATCATAATTTTGGCCCATAGTCAAACACTTTGATTTACTACCATCTAGTCCAGTGAAAAACTCCCTGAATTCTGGAAGCACATGACTGATCAAGCAAATTATCTCTCCAGCCAAAAAGATCCTGCAAATGAGTCATGAATTTTCATGCCATCCAATTACATAGAAGGAAAAAGAATAAAACAATAAAATTAGATATAAAAACTAAAGAATGAAAACAGGCACACAACAATACCAACAGGATTTGGTAAATGACATAAAATTGCTTACCTTGTCAGTATGAAAGCACAGAACAGAGCCAAGAATAACACAACTGACATCATAATTGTTACAAGGACACATTCAACAGATTTATAGGTGAACTGACTTAATGACTGGAAGATGAGACTAGGAACATGTTTTAAAAGGAGATACAATATTTTGCATTCAAACTATATTTGATGTATTCAAAATGCACTTACCAAAGTAAATATTATTAAAGACAGAGTGATGCTATACTCATATCCAAGGAATAATGTTCCAAATGTGGACGCTTGATGTGTGAATCATTACTTTCTGACTTATAACTAAATAACTATCTAAGACTAAATGTAGAAGATGAACATATTTAAAAGGCTGATGAAATTATTTCCAACTCAATGAATAAAATGAATATAATCTATTTTAAGTTTTTAAAATGTTGTAAACAGTAAAGATAGTAAAAGCAAGCAGCAGGTAACAGCAACAAAAGGTACAATAAAAATCTATTAATTCACCAATTAAATATATATTCAGTATCTACAATGCCATTATTAGGGATGGAAGGATAAATGAGACAAGCATTGAGTTTAGTAGTTCACTGCTTGCATGAGGAATTCTCAACCCTCAAAGTGACCTACTGTCCATCTGTGGCGTTCTTTAAAATTAAGGACAAAATGAAGGCTAACCTTAATGAAACCACTTTTAGGACTCTAAATGAAAATAATTAGCATCTGTAGCCTTTATTTAGTTACTCTTACTTAAATCACACATATATAAGAAAATATAGTTTAGCATTATATTGAAAATTACAGGAAAATATAAAGCTATAAGAAAAATAACATACCTAAGAAAATATATTTTTATCATTATATTGAAAATTACAGAAAAAAGATAAAATTAAAAGAAAACAGGTAAGAAAAAAAACAGGCAGGTTAAGATGAATATGGAGCTATCTCAGAAAAGAAAGAATGCAAAGAAAGAAAAACAAAATATACTCTGGAGAGTAAAACTGACACTGCAAGAAATCAAATCAGTAAGAATGATAAGAAGCTCCCCCAGAATGCTGATGAAAAAAGACTAAAATAAGGTGAAAATGATGACAGATGATAAAAAAGGAAAACTAAAAATCAACTTTTAAATAATGGAAGTTCTTAAAGAAGAAATTAGAAGAAACAGAATAGACATAATAACCACCAGTATATTTAAAAGAAAAAAGCAGCCAAGAACATCTTCCCTACATTGAAAAAATATTTCTAAGGCTTCCAATCAAAAGGCATGGTGGCCCATATATCATGAATAGGAAAATTTAAATATTTTCGGTATGAAGAAAAAAATTCTAACAATATTAAGACAGAAAAATAAGAAATAAGACCCTACAAATGCCTTCGGTTTCACAATAATAAATTTAAAAATGACATGAATAGGAGCCGCATGAATAGGACATGCTTGAAATATTATAAAACATAACTAAAACACATTATTTCTTCAAAAACACTTAATCCCAGCTGGATTTTTTTGTAGCAACAGATAAACTATTCCTAAAACTTATATGGAAATAGGACCTAGAATGGACAAAACTGAAGGGCCCCCCACCAGTAAGATGGCAAACTTCCGGCTTCTCTTCGGGGTCCTCAGTTCCCGCCGGCGCCACCTGCCCCCCAGTCACCTCTCGCCCCCCTCCCAATCCCAGCACCTAGCCAACAGCCAACAGCCCCATAGAAGTGACACCTCAATTCATGCCCCTTCCTATATAACCCAGCACCTTTCCCTAATAAAGTGGAATTCTCCGGTGAATTGCTGCTCTGTGTTGCTCCTTTCCTTTCATTGGTGCCGAAACCCGGGAGACAGGACACCCCAACTGGGCCCCGTCTTCCCCCCGACACCAGCAGCAGCTTGCCCTCGTCCTCTTTTTCCGGCGCTGGCTCATCACACTCACCACTCCTCTCTGGCCTTTAGGTAAGTTTTCCCCCGGGAGTGGGCCACTCTTCTCCGAGCTATCGCAGTGCCATTGACCGTGATCTTCCGGCAAGGCCCTGATGCTCGGGGATGAGGAGGGAATGCTCCCCGCCTCAGGCCTTCACGGCTGCGGCGGACCCTCAGGCCCCTCCCCAAACAGCCATAAATCCCCGCCTCAAGCCTTTACGGCTGTGGCGGACGCTCAGGCCCCTCCTCCGACAGTCATAAATCCCCGCCTCAGGCCTTCACGGCTGCGGCTGACTCTCAGGCACCCCCCTCCAACAGCCATAAATGAGGTGACTCCTTTGTGGATGAGAACGCTCCCTTTTCCCCCCCTCCTCCTTCTGCTCCGTCCGCCGAAAACGCCTAGCGCTAGGTACCTCGTGACTCCGGCACTCTGCCTTCTTAGGGAAGTCTGGGTGACGACCCACACTTCCCAAGAAATTCCGACTCGTATACGAGTTTCCGCAGACCACCAAGGATCATCGGGGACGCCCTTTGTCTCCTTGTGGTCTGCTTCCAGTCCGAGGATCTCCGTTCGTCTTCCCCTGTTTGTCTCCTTCTCTGTCCTTTAGCCATGGGAGCCTCCTCATCCCTCCCTGAAAGTTCACCTCTTGAATGCCTGCTTAAGCATCTGGCTACCCTCTCCCTGATGCCTGATATAAAACCAAAACTTCTCCGTAAATATTGCTCCCAAGATTGGCCGACATACCCCCTAGACAATAAAAACCAATGGCCTGCAGGGGGAACTCTTGATCCTAACATCACTCGCGATCTTTTTAACTACTGCCAGCGCCTGAAAAAATGGAAGGAGATTCCCTATATTGAAGCTTTCCGCCTCCTCCTCTCCCCGCCCCCTCCCAAGTTCTCCTAGCCTGCAAGCCGCCGCCCCCGCAGAAGCCTCCCGTTCACTCCCTTCCCCTTCTTCTCCTACAACAGCCCTTCTCCCTTCCTCCCCAACCATCTCCTCCCCCATCTCACCTCCTCCACCTTCATTCCCTGCAGATTAAGCCTGAGCCTTTCAGCCCCCCTTTAACTAGGTCCCAGGGGCCTCCTCCGTCTTTGCCCTCATCACCTGTTTCTCCCCTGTTAGGGACCGCCTTTGTCTTCTCACATGTTTGTAGAGAGAATGGGAAAGCACCTCCCCCCATGTCTGAACGCAGCATGGGAAAGCACAAGCTAGAGAACAACCGGTGCAGTCCTTAGAAGTTATCTGTCCACAAAAACATATCTTGCCAAGACTCCTCACTCTGAAAATAGGGAGACCTTGAAGATGTGTAGAAACACCGCCCCTGCTTCTAGCTATGCCCTTCCCCCACTTGCCGATGTGGCAGGAATAGAAAACAACGCATTCCATAAGCAATTAACTGGAGCCCTGCTGTAGCTCAATTAGTAGAGCATGGGACTCTTAACCTCAGAGTCATGAGTTCAAGCCCAACTAAAGCAGCAGAGGCAAGCAGCTGGGCTGCTAGCTGGCGACACGTGGGTCCGATTCTATCTTT